GTACAATATTTTTCCTTAGTCTCACATTTTTCATGAAGTGCATACTCAACGTCCACAAAAATTAAATGTATGGGCTGGAATTTTTGGTGACCGTATTGTTGGCCATTGTTTTCAGAAGGCAATTTAACCGGACAAATGTATCTGGAGCTTCTGGAAGATACTATTAATCCACTTCTCATTGATATTATTGAAAATGACCACAATTATCGGGAGGATATGTTAATATTTTAACAAGAAGGGGCTCCTCCGCACTATGCTCTGGGAGGTGGGGCACTATCGAATGGCCACCACGATCACCAGACTTTTCGCCGTTAGATTCATTTCCATGGGGTCATTTAAAAAGCAGAATTTACTGTACTCCTCCTCCATCACTCGAAGATTTACGGCAACTTCAACTCTAAATTCAATATGGTTCGTCCAAGTCAAAAAAAATGTACACTGTTGTTTAGAGAATTCTACTATTTTTCAAACGATGTGCGACTCGCCTCCAATTCCCTAATGAAATTTCAAGGGTTGTTCACCCCTTTGCTCCGGGGTAGAAGTGACGACGCTGTAAATGGGAAAAAACTGTTCCCCTTCCGATAAAAATCTACCTGTCTGATCGTTTTGTAGGATTTGCATAATTAGTATCTGAAGCAAAGCTGTTATTACAGACTATTTTTCTAGTAAAATTACCTGTAGATATACTGCGGTCACCAACAAGAATACCCAAATTTTCCCTCCGTACGTTGAGAAGGCAGTGTGCGGCAGTTATCACATATCGATTCGAAATGATACTTCCACTACAAAAAACTTCTGCTACTAGAGTGTCCACCAATCCTGCTAATCTCGGGACAAGATTATTAATTTTCATAATTACCACATATGGGCTGATGAAAACCCTCACGCTATTGTCGAAACTAACCATCAAGAACAGTTTTCCCTTAATGTGTGGCTCGGAGTTATTGGGGATGATTTAATTGGGCCTAATTTTCTACCTCCTCGTTCAAATGGGGAGGCATACGTTCAATTTTTAAGAGAAGTGCATCCAGTACTGCTGGAGGAAGTTCCTTTGGGCGTCAGAAGGGATATGTTTTTTAAGCATGATGGGGCTTCCGTTCATTTTAGTCAAGTAGCACGTCAGCATTTAATTGAAACATATGCAAATCAGTGAATAGGCCGAGGAGGACCACAGAACGGGCCCGCTCGATCCCCGGATCCCAATGGGGCCATTTGCAGCATTTGGTTTATCGTACTCTTGTTCGCGATGTAAAGGACTCAAGAAACTGCATCATCGATGCATCATCGAGCGAATACGTGGGTCTAGGCTCCACTAGATTTTAAAATTATCCAAAATAACAATTCGTTCAGACTAATCTCAAATTACCTAGAGTGTAGGTTAATGGACTGACACCTATCAGACAACAACTACTCCCCTGGATAATACCACGAAGGGGGTTGGACAGGTGTCAGTGCACGAATATTCAATGAAGTTATTCCTGCATATGCTCTTGGCGATTCAACTGCCGAAATCGATGTTCAATTATTGGAACACACTTGAAGACCGGTTTCGGGCTGTTTGGCCACTCATCAATGCATGGTAATGTCTATCATCAACATAAAGTCGATAATATCTGGTTATTGAGTATAATTCCTCGAACTAGGGTGAAGCGAACGACAACCAACATGTTTGTCATCGCCTCATCTGCCCGTAAACGAGGTAACCAACTGCATATCCAAAATTTGACCAATTCCTCGTATAAGGAAGAAAACTATTTGGGTAACTCTTAAAGCGTGGCTGATTACTTTTATAATATTGAAAAATTCTGTAATCTTGTTAAAGCACCATTTTCAAGTTTATTCAACCTTAATCGATTGCTGTTTTCTAGGCTGTGAGAATATCTGCAAATAATGAAAATGAAAAGGTGGTAAAAGAGACAACTTTGAGTGTGTAGTGATAGTGATAGTGCAGTAGATTGTCTATCGACATAGCTTCGATTACCTTAGATTATAGTAGGTTGACTACAAGGAAACATATTTTTCTTATCTTTCATGTTTGATAGTCGTGGGGCATTTTTCAGTAAAACAGACCTTCTGTCTGTATCTGTAAAGTGGAAAGGATGAGTGTCGGGCCTCAGACTTGGGGCACATGTGTTCCATTGTGCATCCTCCCGAGAAGTTGTCCTCCTAGTTCATTGTCCATCCTGTCTTTTCCAGGAAGGTGGACAGTTCTCTGGGAGATATCTCACTTATATCGGCAGGTGTAGGCCAAGACTCGCCGAACACACAGTGTCTTATTGACGATAACTCCGGACATTCGCATGCCTGACAGTTTCATCTTCCTGTTCACACATCCTGGATAGAGATGCGTCCACTACCCCATATTGTGGAGGTGTTTCCTTAGTTGAAAGTGGCCAGTTAGATATCCTATTGTTAAGCGTAGATTTTTCCTGGTCATCGCCAGTTTCCTAGGGTCGCCCATGGGTGTGACATTTGGCTAGTTCCGCAATTGTCGTTATTGGACTATAGGACTACAACTTTTGTAAAACGCTTAAATTTTTGATAAATTCATAATGAACAAAAAAGACTTGAAGCATATTTGTCATAACTGCAATACTTTAAAAGTTATTATAATTATAAAAGCGAAGGAGCGAATGAAAAAGACAAGTATCAAGGTATCACAATATTAAAAGTTTTATAAAAAATTGAATAAATTAAAAAAAACAGATAGTTTCTGACTGCGGATTATTGTTTATTGATGTATCCCAACATCACATGAATGTTTTCATTCCTTAATATTTACATTTGATATGTTTAAAT